CAGCATAGCCTCTCGGTCATGCAAGCAGGGCGGCAGGAGGAGCTTTCTCGCTCTGTTTGTCTGCTTGATTGATCTTGATTTGTTGTCTCTTTTATTTTGAATCCTATCGTTCTTAGTATGTTTATTGTCTCGACTTTTTTTTTTTTTTTTTTTTGGAATCCTATCATTCTTAGTATGTTTATTGTCTCGACTTTTTTTTTTTTTTTTTTTTGGAATCCTATCATTCTTAGTATGTTTATTGTCTTTTTTGGAGAATAATGGAATTCTTTTAATGTTTGTTGCTGTGATTTATGAGGCGTTTTTTTTTGTAGTATTTATATTCGTGACGATTAGGTTAATCTGTTCTTTATCTGTCTCACCCGTAGTACAAAGGCACTGAATATTTAACGGACATATAATGACTTGGTGACAATACGTTCGTCCTGTGTGTGTGAGAGATAAAGAGAGAGAGGAATAGAGAGAGAGAGGGGGAGAGGAATAGAGGAGAGGGGGGGAGGGGGGGGGAGAGAGAGGAGAGAGAGAGAGAGAGAGAGAGAGAGAGAGAGAGAGAGAGAGAGAGAGAGAGAGGAGAGGGGAGAGAGGGAAAGAGGGAGAGAGAGAGAGAGAGAGAGAGAGAGAGAGAAAGGAATAGAGAGAGAGGGGGGAGGGAGGGAGGGAGGGAGGAGAGAGGAGAGAGAGAGAGAAAGGAGATAGAGAGAGAGGGGAGGGGAGAGAGAGAGAGGCAATATGAGTTCATTGGAGTTTTATCTGATAATCTGTAACGTATTGAGTTGCGTGCATGTATCTGTTCTCAGATTTTGTTTCCAGATTAGTTCCTTCCGCGTGGCCATGTATGTTTCTGATTGATTATTTGTCTGTAGAGCTAACTCTGTTATTATTTTTCTATTCTCCAGTCTGTTTGCTTTGTCGGTCTCTGTCTCTGTTTCTTTCGCTTCTCTCTCTCTCTCTCTCTCTCTCTCTCTTCTCTCTCTCTCTCTCTCTCTCTCTCTCTCTCTCTCTCTCTCTCTCTCTCTCTCTCTCTCTCTCTCTCTCCTCTCTCTCTCCCTCCCTCCCTCCCTCCCTCCCTCCCTCCCTCCCTCCCTCCCTCCTCTCTCCTCTCCTCCTCTCTCTCTCTCTCTCTCTCTCTCTCTCTCTCTCTCCTCTCTCTCTCCCTCCCTCCTCCCTCTCCTCTCTCTCTCTCTCTCTCTCTTCTCTCTCTCTCTCTCTCTCTCTCTCTCTCTCTCTCTCTCTCTCTCATCCTCTTCACCTCCCCCCTTTGTTCACTCGATCCTCAGCTCACACACTGACGACCGCCAGACTTCACAAGGGTTTACCTTACACTCAGCCGCCTCTCGCTCGCGATCGCTTCTGCCGGAGGGCCACGCGCGGACTTCTTTTTAAGTATATAATTGTAGGGAAAAAGGAGAGAATAATAACACACACACATACACACACACACACACACACACACACACGCACACACACACACACACACACACACACACACACACACACACACACACACACACACACCACACACACACACACACACACACACACACACACACACACACACACATATATATATATATATATATATATATATATATATATATATATATATATATATGTATATGTTGTTGCGGTTTGCTTGGGATGTAGTTATTATGTTGGCATTGTGTCATTGTAGCATCGTGTAAAAGGGTGTAGTTAACTGTGTCATGCGCTACTTAGGACACTGTCATGTCACTGCGCGATTGCAGTCAAGATTCATTGGAGTTTTATGTTTCGTACTGTAATGGCTCTCTCTCTTCCGTTAATGTCATTTCTCTCTTCTCTTTCACTTTCTTTTTATCTCTACTTTCTCTGTTTTTTTTTCTCTCCCGCTCTGCTTTATTTCCTCTCTTTCGCATACTCTCTCTCTTACTTTCTCTCTCTCTCTCTCTCTATTTTCTCTCTCTCTCTCTCTCTCTCTCTCTCTCTCTCTCTCTCTCTCTCTCTCTCTCTCTCTCTCTCTCTCTCTCTCTCTCTCTCTCTCTCTCTCTTCCTCTCCATTTCCTCCCTCCCTCACCTTTCCCCTTTTCCTCCCCTTCCTTCCTCCCTCACCTTCTCCTCCCCCTCACCTCCCTCCCCCCTCCCCCTTACCTCCTCGCCCCCCATCCCCCTTTTCTCTCATGCAGACAACACACAGGGAAGGAAGACTAGACGGTGAGACATTTTTCTTTCTTTTTTTCTTTTTTTATTCCGCATCTTCTTTTCGTCCTATCGTCGTTTTTTCTTTTTCTTCTTCTTCTTCTTCTTCTTCTTTTTAAGAAAGTGATGTGAGCGTTGGTCGATGATGGTGATGTTGATGGTGGTGCTAATGGGGAAAGCTGTGATGGTGATTTTTGTTGGTGATGTATGAGACTGTGCTGTTGGTGGAGATTATGGTGATTTTGATGGTGATGTTAGAGAATGATGGTGGTGGTGAATTTTGTTGTTGATTTGGTGAAAGCTTTGATGCTGAATTTTGTAGGTGATGGTGAAAGCTGTGATGGTGAATTTGGTGGTGAAAGCTTTGATGGTGAATTTTGTTGGTGATGGTCGAGACTGCGATAGTGATGCTCTTGGTGGAAAATATGGTGATTTTGATAGTGACGATGATTTTGATGATTGTGGTAGGCATAAGGACGTTAGTTGTATGTTGATAGATAGTTATTAACTAATAATTTAAATATTTATTGCTTTATACTAACTACTTAACTGCTGCAATTAACAAATGACTTAGTAATCTGAATGATCACCAACAATAATCATGATATATAAAAGTGAAAATGATGGTGATGATAATGATAAGATGAGAATGAGAGTAAGAACAATGGTAGTGATAATAAAAAGGCAAGGCAATAAGGTCGCCGATGCAATAAAGATATTCACACCTGAAGAAATCCATTAAAATCAGCTCTTTCTGACGCGAGGTGGCGCAACCCTTTGAAAAGTTCGTGGATCAGGATCAACACCAAAATTTAATGGAATCTAATTTAGGCTAGGCACACCTCTGGTAAGTTTTTCATTAAAAAATCTGTTCGTAAATTTTGGGTTGTCTTGCTAACCAACGAACAAACAAACTAATTAGCCAGTGCGATTAAAGAGATTACCTCCTTTAAGGTTATAATGAGATAATGATAGCAATAATAACGATGACAATGATAATAATGATAATAGTAATAATCATAGTATTGATACTGATAACGGTAATAAAGATACTGATAATGATAACGGTAAATAAAAGATAATGAAATTGTGTAATGCTACTAGTAGTTATATTAATGATAATAATTTTATTACTATTATAATAATACTAATTACAACAATAATGATAAACATCTTATCAATCTTATCAATGATAATAATAACACCATACTAACAATCGCCATCATAGCAACAACAGACTTCCCTCCACGAAACAACAGTCATAAAAGCGAAAACTCACACGCGAGTCCCATGTGTGTCTTTAGTCCACGCACACCACCTACACGCCACAGGGAGGCCAAACCGGTCTCGCCTCGCCCGGGGCTGCTGCTCCCGCCGGGTAGTGTCCCCCGGGGCTAGAAATCTGCCTGTCCGATGCAGTTCCTGACACGGGTGTGGTGGCTGCGTTTGAGAGTGTGTGTGTGTGTGTTGTGTGTGTGTGTGTGTGTGTGTGTGAGGGAGTGTGTGCATGTGTGTGTGTGTGTGTGAGGAGAGAGAGAGAGAGAGAGTGTGTGTTGCTTCCGGTTTGTGCGTGTGCGTGTGTGTGTGTGTGTGTGTGTGTGTGAGAGAGAGAGAGAGAGAGAGTGTGGTGNAATAAAAACGAATTATATGGTGTGCTTTTTTATCTACCGTTTACCCCCTTCCTCTTTTCCCCCTCCGGCTTTCCCCCTCCTCATGGTATTTTGTATTTTCTGTGAAGAGAGGGGAATCTTCTATCTGCGTCTTGTTAGGATGGTGCTGCGCTCGCGGGAGGGAAATAGAAAACCCTTTTTTTTTTTGGGGGGGGAGGATAAGATGAGAGTTGAATTTTGATACCAAAGAAGTAGAAGGTTAAGGAGGTGGGGGGTGAGGGGATAAAAAAGAGGAGGTGGAAGGGCCCGGGTAGAGGAGGAGGAGCAGTGGAGAGGAGGAGGAAGGAGGAGGAGAGGAGGGGGGGGGGCAAAGAAGAAGGGGGAAGACGGGGAGAAGGAAGCAGAAATCAATAAATCAAGCGTCTTGCATTGGTAAATGTTCCTGCGGGTAACAAGATCTTGTCTTCACCATCGTTTTTTGTTCTCTCTCTCTCTCTTTTCTTTTCTATTCTTTTCTATATTACCCGCGATAAACGAAACTTCTCCGTCCGGCCTGGAGGGGGTGTGCTGGGAAAGACCTTATGGCCCCTTCAACTTTTCCCCGGATATTTTACCAAAAAGAGCTTATGGAGCCTCCTGTCTGTCCCCTCTATCACACCCCTCTTTCCTTCCCATTTCCCTCCTTTTCTCCTCCACTTTCTTTTCTTCTCCTCTCTTTTTCTTGCTTCTGTCCTCTTCCTCTACCTCTCCTTCCCATCTTCCTCTTTTTACTCTTCCTTCCCTTTTCCTCTTCCTTTCTTTCCATCTCTCTCTTTCTTTCTTCTCTTCACCTTGCCCTTCCTCTTCCTTTTTTTCCACCTCCCCCGTCCCATTCTTCTCTTCCACTTTACTCATTCTCATCCTTATCTTCCTTGTGTTTTTCTCCAAAAAACATTTACTTTTGTATTTATGTAGTTATTATCATTCCTCGCTACTTTTAAACATTCCTCATTTTCCCTCCTCTCCCATTGAAATTAAATTTTTTCTTTTTTTTTTTTTATTTTTTTTTTTTTTTTTTTTTTTTTTCTTTTTTTTTGTTTTTTTTTTTTTTCCTTTTTTTTTTCTTTTTTTTATTTTTTTTTTTTTTTTTTTTTTTTTTTTTTTTTTTTTTATTTTTTTTTTTTTTTGGTTTTTTATTTTTTTTTTTTTTTTATTTGTTATTTTTTTTGTGTTTTTTTT